CACACTCATAGTCTCCTCCCAACACTTATTTATCCCCTCAATCCACCTCATCTCATACCTCACATTGCCACCCGTATCTCATGCTAAGCTTACACACATCTACAGAGAGCAGAAACAAAGAAGAATGCTACCTGATCCACGAAGTCAATGATACGAAGATCCGTAGGGAATTGTGAATGGCTAAAAACAAACTCTTTATTCGCTGTATAATATTTGCTGAATAATTCAGAGGGCATATTAGCTACGAGAAACCTAGACTTAACGGGCATCAAGTGCATAGTCAGCTAAAAATTCATTTTCCAGCCGTTGACATTGAACCGGTTCACCACGACATAATCCTCTAGAAAGGTGGTTGTCTCATTAATGCCTCTCTCGCTTGTAGCATCCCTAGAAACGTCATTTTGAAGTTATATCTCTGGGAAATAGCACTGGGAAGGTGCACATTTATCTGTGCTCAAAACAGCTCTGTGTATTATAACAGAAGAGGAATTAGGGTCTCGACAAGGAAGTAAAAACGAGGGTACGACGCCTTCTGGGGCTTCACTAATGGTAAATGTACAATTAAGTGCATGGGCGGCAGGAGTGTGGTCAGCAAATATGTATAGCAGCACTAGCAGCACCTATGAGACGTTGTGGACCTCCTGTATGATAAATAATAATAACTCAAGAATGCCGTATTTGAATTTTCGCCACCTGAATTCCTTCCCTCTGCAGCATGGATCGAATTATACCTGAGGAAGATGGAAGCCATGCTGTACACCAGGCAGGGGACTCTGGTTATTCCTCACGTCTTCTGTCAGTGTCAACGTAATGATCATTGAATTCGGCATCGTCGCCCCATCAATCAGTCCCCTCAAGCGAAAGAAAACAACATATTCTGACACACAGAGACGAAAGAGAGAGCAACCATAAACCTAACCATACGCCTGAGATTGTTACCTGCAGTACGCGCGTGCGCCATTATGGAGGACCAACCGGAGGAGCGATTAAAGCTGTGCCTCCTTGAGGGGCAACTAACTGACTATTGAAGGCCTAGTATATTGCATATACACTACAGTAGACCTCAAGGGGGACTTCTAGAGGCCTCCCCTGCTAAGAAGGTAAACTGTAAACATATCATTACACTACTACTGTAGGCAGAGTACTCTAGGCAAAAGGACTCGCTTGCCTCATAAGATATGTACCGAAGTACGAAGAGAAGACACGGACTCGCCAAGGCGACAGGGGCAGTTAGATCTCTTTTAGGTACAGGTAAAGAGGAAAAGGTAGGGGGAAGGATCCTTTTCTTGTTGCATTATATGAGCCTTTCCCCCGATTCATAATAGATCTGACCCTCCCTAAGAACTAGCGAGGGGGGAAGGGATGATTTTAATATTATTGCTCAATTGTATTTTTATTCTTAGGGTGTAGGGTATACGCCTTTAGGTTTTGTTTACATATTTGAATTATTCGCGTTAGCGACAATTCAATAATATACCCCCAGGTATATATGCAGCAAATAGAGCAGCACAAGAGAGATGCAGATACACCTGCAGTGACAAGGGTAAACTCACACTTATTTCGTGGAAATAATAGCAGCAGCAGCGAGAACAGCAGCAAGAACAGCAGCAGCAGCACAGCAACACAGCAGCAGCAGCAGCAACAGCAGCAGCACATGCACACAACGCACGGCACAGCAGCAGAGATGACGTCTGTTCTCCCTTCTTTTACTTATTAGCAATTGATTAAGATGTTAAGATGAGGAGAAGCAAACAAAGACAAACATATATGCATATCCATTGCTGCTGCTGCTGCTGCTGCTGCAGTAGCAGCAGCAACAGCAGCAGCACAGCCAGCGGCAGCCAGCAGCCCCGCTGTAGCAGCCCTCGACGTAGGCTAATTTGTTTGTAGCTTTAAAGGGAAAAAAAAGAAAATTAAAATTAAAAAGACGAAAAAGAATAAGTAAATATATTTTGCTGCAGAATGCACGCAAAAGAAGCAAGTTGTTGAGCTGCTGCTGCTGCGGTCGGCTGGAGCGAGCAGCAGCAGCAACAACAAGCGCTGCTCCTGATGCTGCTGCTGCTGTTCTCTTAAAAAGAGGATTTCCTTCTCGTTTTGTTCATTTCTTCTCTTTTCTTCTCTTTAATTAAACACTTGCTGCTCTCAGCTGTACAGACACCCCGCTGCTGCTTCTGTCTGCATGCCCCTCGCTGCAGCATCAGCAGCAAACTTTCTTCTTCTTTTCCTTGGGGCTGTCAGCTGACTGCAACAACAGCAGCAGCAGCAACAGCAGCAAAGGCATTGAATAACAGCAAAGAACTTTATAAGTTTTCTTTTTGCTGCGGCAAACTGCTGCCACTCATACAGCAGCCTGCCGGTGCTGCTGCCGTCATATCTGTCACAGGCAGTCGCAGCAGCAGCAGCAGCAGCAGCAGCTGCTGCTGCTGCTGCCACTACCACCGTGGCTTCTGTTGCTGCAGGAGCTTTGCAGGCCGCTCAGTGTGCGAAGCAGAAGCAGCAGCTGCTGCTGCAGCCAAATTGGCTGCAGCGCAGCGTGAGTTGTTGTGTTGCTGCTGTGTTGCTGCTGGTGCTGCTGCGGGTGTAAAGGCATCAGCAGCATCTCGGCAGCAGCGGTTTCATAAGCAGCAACAGCAGCAGCTGCTGCTGCAGCAGCAGCAGCAGCAGAGTTAGGCCTCGAGGATGAAGAGGTTCGGCAGCAAGGGCAGGCGGCGAGGGGGCCCCAGGGGGGAGTCTGCTGCTGCTGCTGTACACAGCAGCTTCTGTGTCAGTCTTAGCAGCATCGATGCAGCAGCAGCAGATGCTCATAATGATGAGACTTTTGCCGTTGAAAACCCAATTGGTAAGCAGCTGCAGCAGCATCGACAGCAGCAGCAGCAGCATCGACAGCAGCAGCAGGAGCATCGACAGCACCAGCAACAGCTAGCACTTGCTGCAGCACCTGATACAGGGGCTCCCGTACTTTCGTTTGCTGCAACAGCACTTAATGCAGCAGTGCTTGTTACTGCGGCAACTGAAGCAGCACCACCAGCACCAGCAGCAGCAGCGGCAGCAGCGGCAGCAGCAGCATCCATCTGAGTTCGTGCAGTGTGTTCAAAGACTTGCTTACGAGGCCTTCCTTTATTTGGTGCTGCTGTTGCTGTTTGCTCCTTCTGTTTGTTGCAGGTGATGATTGGCAGCCAAATGAGGCGTTCTCTAAGGAATTCGAACTGCAAAAGCAGCAGCGGCAGCAGCAGCAGCTGCAGCAGCAGCACAATAGATTGGGACCGACATCTCCTGCGGCACACCATGCAGATGATTTCCATCGAGAGGTAATTTTGCCGTTGCTGCTGCTGCAGCAGTTGCTGCAGCAGCAACAGCTGTCTGGCCGTTGCTACTGCTTCTGCTGCTGCTGCTGCAGATGCTTTTGCCGTTGCTGTATTTCAAAGGAAGCTTCCGCTGCGCCAATGCAGCAGCATCTGTAACAACATCTGCAGCAGCAGCTGCAGCATGGTGGGGTTGCGTTGTCGGGTTTGCTGCTGCCGTTGTCAATGCTGCTGCTGCTGATGCTGTTTCTGCCTGTGTTACTGCTGCAGCCCTTTGAGCTACCGGCGTTCTTTAGTACAGATGCAAGAGGCCAGCCAGTAGACGTCGTCCTCGAGTCTTTAGAACCGGAGACCGATGGTGCTACTGCTGCTGCTGGCAGCAGCAGCAGCAGCAGCTTTCCGCATGGCTCTCTAGAGGCACTCGATGCAGCAACTCCCCTGCGGCACTTCGCAGATGCTCTTGAGCCAGACGATCACCTGCAGCAGCTGCAGCAGCAGCCGTTGCAGCCGCTGCAGCAGCAGCGGATGCTGCCACAGTATCAGCGACATCTAGGCGACCCAGCAGCAGCAGCAGCACCAGCAGCAGATCCTCTGTCTCTAGAGGATCCCTGCATGCAGTCGTTGCTATGTGCAGCAACGGGAAAGTTGTTGCGTCCTCCTCCTGGTTTTGACGGTGAGGGGGCTCAGCTGCAGCAGCGGCGGCAGCAGCAACATAACGCAGCAGCAGCAGCAGCTGCTGCTGCTGCTGCTGCTGTCAGCAGAGACCCTGCTGTTCTTATGGCAGAGCCTGCAGAGGGCGTGCCTTTTGCATGGACAGCAGGAGGCAGCAGCAGCAACAGCAACACGGGGCTGATGACGGCTCAGAACGGGGCGTTTGCTGCTGGTGCTGCTCCTGGTGCTGCTGCTGCTGCTGCAATGGATGCCTCCCACATACGGCCCACGCAGTTGCAGCAGCAACAACAGCAACTGCAGCAAATGCAGCAGCAGCGGCACGCTGCTGCTGCAGACATTCCGCCTGGTTGGAACGGGCTTGACGACCTGTGGGGTCCTTCGCAGCAGCAGCAGCAGCTGTTACTGCTTGAGCAGCAGCGGCACGGTTTCTGTGGGAGTGTAGGAGGAAGAGCAGCAGGCATGCAGCAGCAGCAGCAGCAACCTATGCCAGTGCTGCAGCACGAGGTCCTGGAGGAACAGCTGCTTCAGCGGCAGCAGCAGTATCTGCAGCAGCAGCAGCAGCAGCAGGAGCAGCAGCAGCACCACGTCGGCATATCGGAGGGAAAGCACGTCACCCAGTCGCACTTACCGAAACAGCAGCAACAACAGCCGCAGCAGCAGCAAAGGATTGGCAAGGGATTGTCTGATAGGCCAAGGGGAGACCAGCGGAGCACAGGGGCAACCCACGGCCGACTGCAGCATGCAGCAAGCAGCGCGGATCCGCAGCAGCAGCAGCAGCAGCCGCAGCAGCGTTTGCGCGGTAAGCAACAGCAACAGCAGCAGCCTGCGCAGCCGCAGCGCCGCAGACAACAGCAGCAGCAGCAGCAACAACAACAACAGCAGCAGCAGCATTTGCAAGAGAAGGGACGACGGCATCCGAAGCAGCAACATGAATTGCAGGTTACGAACGGCAGCAGCAGCAGCAGCAGCAGCATTTGGCCCCCTCCTATATTCCCGTTAACGCGTGGTTTAATAAATCATATAATCAAAGAGAAGATAGAAGACGGCAGCAAGTGGTTTGCTGCTCCTGCAGCAGCAGCAGATGGTTCCCCTGCAACAGCAGCAACAACCCCTACCTCTTCAAGTCCCTACAACAATACCAACAGCAGCAGCAGCAGCAGCAGCAGCGGGTTTATGACTTCTCATGACTTTGATGTTATTCTTCGAGTTCAGCTTTCGCAAACTTCTCGTCGCCCCGAGCTGCAGCGATATACAGGCCGATGGAACTTTCGTTGCATGCGCAGCAGCAGCAGTAGCAGCAGCAGCAGCAGCAGCAAGATGCCTTTCGAGTTAGAGAATTCTCTTAAACAGCTAGCGCAGCAAATGCACACACAAGGGGGTCTTATGGATGCCTTATTACGCGGATCTCCTGCTGCAGCAACAGCTGCAACAGCAGCAGGAACAGCAGCGACAACTGCAGCTACATCAGCAGCAGCTGCTGCGGTTGCCGCAGCAGCAGCAGCTGCTGCTGCTGCTTATCCTGACGTACAAACACTCGTCAGCAACTCCTTGATGCACCGCAGACTATTTGGATCTGTCTGTACAACTGAAGCAGCAGCTCTGCTGGAAGCAGCAGAAGCAGCAGAGAAAGAGCAGCAAATGCCGTCCCAGGACGCTGGTCCTGCTGCTGTTGCACCTGCTTCAGGGGAAGCAGGTGCACCTTCTACCTCTGCTGCAGCGACAACAGCTGGCACTTCTGCTGCTGCTGAAGCTGCAGACACAAATTCTCCCGAGAGCAGCAGCAGCAGCAGCGGGGTGCATAAGAAGTTCGGCCGTGTTGCTTATGCCTCTATTAGACATCCGCGTAATGTTATTCACATCGATCGCCGCTCGCAACAAGAAGTTGATGGTGTTGACTCTGCTGCTTCTGCTGCAGCAGCAGCAGCAGAAGCAGCAGACAGCAGCACCAGCTCGAACGGACTCAGCAAACAGCGCTATGCTCAACAGCTCGTCAGACAGGTACGTCCTGCTGCTACTCTTGCCGCTTGTGCTGTTGCTGTGGCTGTTGCTGCTGTTGCTATTAGTGCATGTGCTTGTGCTGCAGCACCTGCTGATGATTTTGGCGTGCGCCTTGATCTGCTGCGGCTACTGTTGTTTTTTCTACTGTTGTTGCTGCTGCTGGGGTCATTCTGTGTCATGACTGGTGATTTGTTGGTGTTGCTGTTGCTGCTGCCGCTGTTGTTGGTTTGCTGCAGCTGTCTTTAGGGGCCCCTGGCTTGAGCTCGCTGCAGTCTTCTTTAGCTTTTAATTCAATCATTGAAGATTGCCACGACATCCGATTGGCAGCAACAGCGCTGCTTGCAGAACTCGAAGTGAGGGTTTAGTGTTTAGGGTTTAGTGTTTAGGGTTTAGGGTTTTGAGGGGGTGGTGGGTGGCCCTTATGGTTCTGCTGCTACCTGACATGGAGTGTAGGACGAGGGTTTAGGGTTTAGGGTTTAGGGTTCATGGTTAAGTTTCGTGTGTCTGTTGTGCTGTGTTGCTACTTCTGCTGCTGTATTGGTGCTTCTGCGTTGCTGCTGTGGTTGTGTTGATGCTGCAGGAGTGCCCAGCAGGTCATGTGGCAGCTCGTGGCCGTCTGCAGCAGCAGCTACAGCACACGTTGCAGCAGGCAGCAGAGTTGCTGCTGCTTCGGCACTGCAGCAACTCCCTTGCCCCCCCTATGCTTTATCTTCTTGACTTTAGTGCTCCTGCTTGTTGCTGCTACCCAGGAGAATACGTCTTTAGGCTGCGGCAGCACTACCTGCGTTATCAGCAGCGGCAGCAGCTGCTCCACCAGCAGCAGCAGCAGCAGCTGCAGCAGGAGTTGCAGCAGCAGGAGGAAGAGGACTTTATTGATACATTGCCTCCTGAGTTAGAGAGTATTGTTATTGAAGGACGCCGCAGCACTAAATGGATGCTGCAGAAGGTTTGCTGCAACAGCAAAGGCATCGAGCTGCTGCTGTTGCTGCTGCCGCTGCTGACAGATGCATGCGTTTCCGTGCTGCTGCAGGGGCTGCTGCTGTGCTCGGAGACGGTTGAGGGGATATTTGCAGGAGCAGATCGTGCCCTAGCAGCAGCAGCAACAGGGGCAGGAGCAGCAGGAACAGCAGAGGCAGCAGCAAATGAACGCAGCAGCCGTTTGTTTGAAGAGGTGTTAAACTCCACAGGCATAACGCATGCAGCAGTTGCTGCGCTACCGAAGGACAGTTTGCTGTATCTGCTGCTAGTACAGCAGCAGCAGCAGCAACAGCATCAGCAACAGGAGCAGCAGGAGCAGCAGCAGGAGCAGGGCCTCGCTGGGGGGGGCCCACTATGTGGGTACTTGCTGCTAGGGTTTGTAAGGGTACTAAGAGCAGCGGGGCCCTCGAGGATTTCTCTTCTTAGCAACTTTTTAGATATTTTATATAAAACAGACCCTAATCTATTTTATATAAGCAAATATGAGGTATGGAACTGCTGCTGCTGCTGCTGCTGTTGCTGCTGCTGCGGTCGTTGTATGCTTGGTTTGCGGTTCACCGTTGACTGCTGCTGTTGCAGCAACACGGTTGGCAGACTCATTGTGCTGCGGTGTATTTGCTGCTGCTGTTGTTGCTGTTGCTGCAGACGGGGGTTTGCTTCCTTTCGCTGCTAATGCTGCATCTTCCGCGAGCGGAGGGAACAGCAAATGCAAGCCAAAGGTGAGGGTTTAGGGTTTAGGATTTTAGGGTTTAGGGTTTTAGTGTTTAGGGTTTAGGGTTTAAGGGTTCAGGGTTAGGGGTTCGTAGAAGGGTGCATACCGCTATCTGCTGCTGCTGTTGTTGTTGCTGCTGCTGCAGAAAAATATTTAGCAATTTTCTACGTTCGGTGGCGGGCGCGTTGAAGGCTGCACTGCCCCTAGAGTTACTGCAGCAGCAGCAGCAGCAGCAGCGGCAGTTGCTGCTGCTGCGGCCTCTGATTCGTAGTTTGCTGCAGCAGGCAAGACAGTGCCCAGCTTGGGCAGCAGCAATCACCACAGAAGTTGTGTAAGTCTTCTTCTCTTATCCTACTAATAATATAGATCAGTATTATATATTATGTATTATATATTATATATTAATTTACATATATACATTATATATTATACATTATATATACAATATATAGTGTGTATAGTATGTAGTGTATAATATATATAAAGTATAGTGTATAACAATATAATAAAAATATTCATGTTTGTCTCCTTTTTATTTTATATATTTTTTGTTTTTTTTCTTTTTTTTTATTTTTTAGGGAACGATGGGGAGCGTCTGCTGCTCGTTCTTTCCTTGCCGCGCTTGTCGCTGCAACAGAATTTTAGCTGCAGCATTAGCTGTTGCTGCAGCAGCAGTATTTGCTGCTGCTGCAGCAGCTGCAGCAGGGACGGTGGTAGCATTCGCACTGCAGCAAAGGCTGCTGTTGCCACTGCTGCTGCGCTGCAACACTTGGTTCATTCGAGCCGCAGCTGCTGCTGCACTTGCTCCACTTGCTGCAGCTGCTGCAGTTGCTTCTGCAGCGGGCGTGTAGTGTATAATCTATAGTCTCGAGGGCCTTTCTTATCCTCGTAAGTAACGAGGGAGATAAAAAGGAGACAAAAGATAAAAGGAGACACTTTAGATCATAAGGATACACTCAGGGGGGAGATAAACAGACTTAATAACAGTGCTGCAGCAGGAAGAGGAGACACTTGTTTTCTGCTGCAGCAGCAGCATTTAAAACCTCACTTAAGAACAATGGCATTTTGCTGCTGCTGCTCTAGCTGTCTCTATAAAAGGAGACAGGAGGGAGGAGCGAGTACATAAATATAATAAAAGGATAATATAGGAAGTGAGAGTAGACCCTAGACTGTAAACCCTAAACTGTAGACCGTAAACCCTAGACTGTAAACCCTAAAGCGTAGTAGACCGTAAACCCTAGGCCCTAAACGCTAGGCCGTAAGCCCTAAACCCTAGACGGTAGACCCTAGACCCACAATAATAATAGAGACTATTAAAAGGCGGAAGAGATGTCTTAGATGGCAAAAGGAAAGAGACAAATGTTCTTCTCTTTTGCTTCCCATGACCAAACCCTGAATCCAGGCGACAGCAGCAGCAGCTATTTGCTGCAGCGGCAGCATTTGTTGCTCCAGCTGCTGCTGTGGCTGCTGATGCTGCGGTGGATTATATGTACGAAGCGGCACCTTAGCAGCAGCAGGAGCAGCTATTACATTTGCATATGACCTGCTGCTGTTAAGGCAGTTCTTTCTTCTAGTGTTGGCTTGCATGCACCATATATAACAATATGCCCTGCTGTTGCTGCACTTGTAGCTGCTGCTGTTGCTGGCTGCCCTACGCTGCTACCACTACTACAACTACCACTACTACTACAGCTGCTGCTGCAGCTGCTGCAGCAGGGGCCTATGTATACCTCTGGTTCCCATTGTTCAGTACATTCAATAGAGATGTAGGGCCTCCAAACGGTGACACTTAAATCAGCACCCTCTATTAGTCTTAGGGCCTCCTTGCTGTTTTCAGGGGGCCCCCCCTCATCTCTTACTGTAAAGACGACTACACGAGGAGGAGGATGATGGGTATTGTAACCTTCACCATCTGCTCCTGCTGAAGGAGGAGCAGCTGCAGCAGATGCAGTAGTAGTAGTAGTAGTCGATCGTGTACCAGCTGTTGCAGCAGCTGCAGCAGCTGCAGCAGGATGCGACCCAACTCCACCATCAGCAGCTTCTTCATCTCCCTCATCAACATCATTTGTTGCTGCAGCGGCAGCAGGAGGTATAAATTGTTCATCAATAATAAGATTACGGGTAGTAAATATTTGTACAGCAGCAAAGTCTCCTCTTCGCCAATTAACAAAAGGTTGAAAGGAAGGACTTTGTAGTATTTCTATACGAGGGGTTGCTGCTGGCAGCAGCAGCAGAACGGGTTGCTGTTGCTGCTGCTGCTGTTGCTGCAGCTCTGCTGCTGCTGCATGCGGGCTGAGTTCATACACAGGCTGCAGCTGAGGACGAGGAGAGCAGCAACCTAAAGAAGGAGGGGAAGGATCATCAAGCAACCCCACAATAGACCCATCTTCTGCGACTGCTGCTGCTGCTGCACCTCCTGCTGCTGCAGCAGCTGCTGCTGCTTCTGTCTCCTCTTTAGCTCTTGCTATAGCTAATAAACTCTGCCTCATGGCTGTTAGCTGCTCCTCTAGTTCTCTATACCCCATGTTAATAGCAGCAACTTCATCTTCCTGCTGCACCCGCAGCCGCAGCATCTCTCGAGATCGTGCTGCAGCAGTAGCAGCAGCCGCGGCAGCAGCAGCAGCAGCTGTTGCACCACGAGCAGCCTCACCTGCTGCACCAGCCACAGAACCCACTGCAGCAGCAGCAGCAGCTGCAGGACCACCGCATGCAGGGGGTCCCCGCAGCTGCACACCCGTCAGCCATGCTTGCTGCTGCAGCTGCTGCTGCACTGCCTCTAGCCGCTGCAGCAAAGTATGGGACTCTGACAAGAGTCCCTTTAATACATCAAGACTTTGCTGCTGCTGCTGTTGCTGCTGCTGCACCTCGTGTTGTGTCCTACGTATCAGCTGCTTTATCTCCTCAGCACGAGAGGACCCCATAGGGTACAGATTACTACCAGCGGCCCTCCCCCTTCGTGGCCCCCCCGTCTGCTCCTTCAAAGGAACAGCGGCAGCAGGAGCAGCAAAGTTTGCTGCGGAGCGGCTGAATCCCCCTAGTGCTGCTTCCAGCTGCTGCTGCTGCTGCTCTAATAGCTGCTGCGTCAGTTCTAATCTATGCAGCAGTTGCTGTATGTTGCTGTTGTCATCAGCAGCAGCAGCAGCAATAGTTATACCGTCTCGTCTACCTGATCCCTCCCCTCCTCCTCCTCCTCCTCCTCCTCTTCCTGCGCCTCCTCCGCCAGCAGCAGCAGCGGGACCCCCCGATGCAGGGGGCCCCTCATCCCCTACGTGCTGCAGCAAAGTCCTCATTGTGTCTTGACAAAGACGAGAGAGTCGCAGCTCGGGTTCTGTTGAGCTGCAGATACTCTTTAAATCAAGACCTCCTGCTGCAGTAGCGAAAGACTGCTGCTGCTGCTGCTGTTGCATGCACGCAGCAGCAGAAGGTAAACCCCATCTCCCCTCCCCTGCTTGGGTCTCTCCCACTGTTGCCCACGGTATTGCTGCAGCGGCAGCAGCAGCAGTGGGTGTATTTGACGGTCCTGTGGGTCTGTAGAGAGGAGGGGTCCCCCCAAGCAGCGGTTGGGGTCCCCCACCTCCTACTGCAGCAAGCAGCAGCTGCGACCTCCTCTGTGCTGACAGCAGCAGATCTAATGCCACCTGCAGCACGATCATGACTGCCGACCCCACCCTCCGCTGCTTGCTGCTGCTGCTGCTGTTGTTGTGGTTGCCCCCCCCTTTTTTGGATTGAGGGGTCCCCCCTCCTCCCTCTATGGGGGCACCGCTGCTGCTGCTCCCCTCAGCAGCAAGCAACCCTAAACCTAGGGGGGGCCCCCACAGGGGCCCCCATATACCCTCTGTACCCGCACTTGTACGAGAGAAGTACGAACTTGTTGTACACCTGCTGCTTAAACTTAAGGGGGGCCCCTCACTGGGTGCAGCAGCAGCAGCAGCAGCAGACTGTGCACCAGCCGACGCAGATACACTTGTTGTTGTCGTCATTGTCGCTGTCCTCGTTGCTGCTCCTGATTCTACAGCAGCAGCAGCTGTTTCTTCTTCTGCTGCTGCTGCTTCCTCTTGTGCTGCTGTTGCGTCATTGGCAACATCAACAGCAGCTGCAGTCAAGAATGGAGGGTCCTGCTGCTGCAGATCAATCGGCGGTCCCTCAGTTGCGGTTGCTTGCGCTGCAACATCTGTCGCTGCATCGGCAGCAGGATCAGCAGCAGGTGCTGCTGCTGCTGCAGGCGCTGGCTCTGGTAAGGCATTAATTTGCTGTTCCAAGAAATCAAACAACCACCTCCATATACGAGGAGGGGCGGGGGGGGCCCAGGTCTTGGGGGAGGTCCCCCCAAAGTCGGATATTTCTGCCGCCGCTGCGGCGGCGGCTGCAGTTGCCGCGGCTGCAGCGGCAGCGGTTTCCTGCGCAGGTGCCACCGTCGTTGCTTCTCCGGGACACACCGGCAAAGGCTCTCGATCAACGCCTCTACTTTCTGCCGCTGCAGTACCTGCAGCAGCAGCAGCTGCTGCTGCATCGGTATCGCTGTTAAGGCACGGAAGAATCGATCCCTCGAGGGTTGGGGGTAGATTGGAGCCCTCATGGAGGCCCCCGTCAAACTCTTCTGAGGGCCCCCCGGGTCTACTCACTTCAAGGACATCCCCAAGGGCCCTCTCGACACTAGAGAGGGCCCCCCCCCCTGAAGGCTGGGTACAGTACGGGGGCCCCCCAAGGGGACTCGTAGGCCTCATGGGGGCCCCCACCTGCCAACCCTCTAAGACAGGAAACGGAAGGAAACTCATTTAAATAGTGGTCATTGAATTAGAAGAACATGCCCTGGGCCCCCCCCAGTATGGACGCTGCAGCAGTCGCAGTAGCTGCAGCAACAGCAGCAACAGCAACAGCAGTGGCGACAGCGGCGACAACAGGTTGTTGCTGATACTTAAGTTATGAAATACGTGGGGGAAGCAAAAATTAAACAAATTGAAAAGAAGAAAACAACAAAAGAAATGCAGACACGGTGAGAAGCCGCCGCCGTACAGCAGCAGCAGCAGCAGCTGTGCTGCTCTGTCGGTCCTTTGGGGCCCCACTGCAGCAGCAGTGGCAGCAGCAGCAGTAGCAGCACACGGGGGCCCCCCACAACAAGGGACATCGATGAAAAAGGTGTTATAATAAGCCCCCTTATTATTATCTTTTATATATTAAATAGTAGTTATATTATTTATATATTAGCAATTATATTAATATTAATAATTTATATCAGGGTTTATTAAACCTCCTAGGGTTTACTACCCTGCCTTCACGTAATAAGGGTTTAGGGTTTAGGCATAATGTTAATTAATATTAGTGTATATAAATCCTCTATACATACTAGGGTTTATAGACCCTTATAAAGTAAAGACAACTTATAATACACCATAATATTATTGTTAATAAATAATAATAGTGTTTATATGCCCCTAATAATAAGTACAAGCTTCGGTATAACCCTAAACCCTGAACCCTAAACGCTAAACCCTAAACGCCAAACAGAATGTGTGTGACGACAGCCTTACAAATGGTTTGTGATAGTCTCCCTGCTGTCGCTGCTGGCCTGCAGCACCTTGCTGAAACAAGTGCTGCTGCTGCAGCTTCTGCTGCAGCAGAAGCTACTGCAGCAGAGTTTTTCTGTAACGAGCTTTGCTGCAGCAGCTTCTGATGCAGCAAGTTATGCTGCTGCACGGTTAGTCAGTCTCCGTCTACTTCCCAGTTAGCTGCGTCTGCTGTATTGTCCGCATCTATGGCGATGCCCTCCGTTACAGCATACAGCAACTTCTTACGCAGCACTGCGTAGCTAGAGTATGGTGGTAGATCCACCTAAACAGCAGCAGCAACAACAACACAGGCAAAACAACGGCCCAGCCCCTAAGAAAACAGCAATTCCGTCAGCATCTGCAGCAGTGGTAGCTCTGAATAAAATAGTAGCAGCAGCAAATGCAGCACCAGCAGCACGAAAAGCTCGGGTCAACAACAGCAACCGCCCCCAAAGATCCAGCAGCAGTAGCCACCACAGCACTCGCAGCAGCAGCAGCACCTGGAAGAAGCAGGTGTGGGACTGTGGCAGCATTTGATCTGCAAGACGTTGCATTGCTGCAGTGCAAGCAGCAACATCATTGCATGTAAAGTTAGCGACGACTGCATCTCTTGATGCTGGCGTTGTGATAGTTCTTGGTGATGTTTCCTCCTCTGCCGTTTCCGTTCCTTCCGCTGCTGCTGCAGCTGCTGCAGCAGCAGCGGCTGCGGCAGCAGCCGCTGCTGCTGCTGGTCGACTGCTTGAATGGGTATGCGTAGGCAGCTTTAATGCTACTTCCATTTCTTGCTCCCACGATGCATGCGCTAATGGCAGCCGCGAACGACCCCAAACAAAACGAAGAAAACTTTGACGCTCCGATTGGGTAAAAGATTCAAGAGCCTCCCAAAACCACTTTATTTGCTTATCCGATTCCTAAGCAGCAGCACCAGCAACAGCAGCAGCAGCAGCAGTTGCAGAAGCAGCAGGGATAAGGAGGTGGATATGAAGAAAGAGCATGAGAAAGGGGAGATGCGCAGCAGTAACACGCTCCCAGGGTAAGCCGAAATAGTGCAACAGGAGCACCATCTGCAGCAGCGGCAGCAGCAGCAGACAACACAGCAGCAACAGACGACGACGACAATACAGCTGCAGCAGCAACAGCAGAGGATCCAGAAGCAGCTTACCGTGTATCCCGTGTACTTCGTGTGGCTCTTCAGGAGCTGCAGGTCTATAGAGGGACTGCCGCACACCAGGCGCTGCAGCTGATAGGGCTCAAGTAAGTCAACGATCTGCAGAGGCACCACGTCTCCAAGGCCTTGACGCACTGCAGCAGTCTGAGCAGCAGAAGCAGCAGCAATGACAGCAACCACAGCAGCAGTGAATCAGGGAGCAGGGGCAACACAAACAATGCAGGCGGTGGGTGCAGAAGAGAAGCAGCAGCAGCTTTTGTAGCTCCCCGCGCGAGTCTATCTTTAAAAGGACTTGATTGAAGCAGAAGCAGTCTCGTTTTCTGTTTCTACTTTTCCCTTTTGGTCTTTGTCGGTGTCTCTACAGATATTGGTATACATCTACCTACGCATCTACATAAATATATACATGTACATGTATTTCCAGGTATACATACCTTTATTTGTGCAAGTATTGCATATATATATATATAT